TTACAATGTATGAAAAATACTTTTATGAGAAAAACAAAATGATTGAATGTCTCACCCAAAAGGACCAGAGGATTTATTTTAACATAATGAGGATCAACAGCAATTGTGAGTAATTTTTTGGTTTAGTTGACCTATGTCATATTGCTTAAAGCTGAAGGAAATTAGTGCAGTCTCATTCGTATAAAATCATTTTTCAATAAGTTCTTGTAGCCAGTCCATTACTAAACAAAGATTCACCGATTCATTATTTCTTTTTAAATATTCCGGCAATTTTCTGAAAAAAGGTTTCGCCCTCCTTCGTTTCAGCGCCTTTCTTTTCACCGGGTTTCTTCTCAGCGGGCTTTTTTTCAGCTGGTTTCTTTTCAGCAGTTTTCTTGTCCATTTCGGCAAAAAAAGGTTAATTTGAGTCAATAAGAATCAAAAGATTATTGGAGGCTTTCTGTTAAAATGATTTTAAAAATTTAAAATAATGTAATTTAGCTCCTGAATTTATACAAATAGCGTTCTAAAAACTTCATTTTTCTCGTGTTCAAATAGCTGGGAAACACGTAATACAAATAAAGAAACCCACGTGCATTAAAGAAGTTTTTAATTTCCCAATTTTCTTATGAAATTTATTTTAAGCTAAACTTGAGTAGTTCCTGTTTAAATAAATTCTTGTTTTTTTATTTTTAAATAATGTACTAAAAATATTAGAGGATTACTTCATAATATGAAATTATAAATAATGAGATTAATATCTTTGGTCCTAACATCCTATACATGGTAAAACAATATGATTGTGATTTTATTTCCTTCCATCAAGTAAGGCTTAACTCAGTATTGTTTAACTTTTTCAGATTATTCAGTCTGTGGTTGAACTAGATTATGATTTAAAGTTACGTTTTAAACAAATTCTTAGTCTCAAAGTCGCTTTGCAATTGATTTTACATGTAAGCCTCTTCTTGTTTACCCTATTGAACAACAGTGTAAATGAAGTTGGATTTTGAACTAAGTGGCCCCGGATGTGTTACTATTTATCACTATATAAATGTAAAAGTGGAAGTTTGCTTGTATGTATGCTCACTAATAACTCGCGAACGGAAAAACCGATTTGGATCGTGTTTTTTCCCCAGCATTTTGCAAATTTTCTTGGAGTGGTTTGTAACCAATCATCATTTTCCAGTTTTATGTAGTTTGGGCACAATATCGTAAATATGAAAATTTCATTGTTGAAATCCATTGTTTCAGTTTAAACTTTTCTTACTTTCTTTCGAATGTTTTTACCGATTGGCATGACGTTTCTTGTTACATTTTAATAATATTTTGTGAATCATTTTTCGATATTCTCAATCTCTCTACGTTGATTTGTTCGCATGCAATGTTGACAAACGCTTTTTATAATCGTTTCAACTTTCCTCAGTTACAGAAACAGCATCGTTACAAAATGTTTAACAAAATTGAAGCAGACGAAATCTCGAGAAATTTTCAAATACCTAAAGAAATACCTGCAAGTGACGTAGTGTGGGTATCTCGATCCTGAGTGTCTGTTGAAACACTGCACTTGTTTACATTATCAACTGTTCTTTCCATTCTATTTCGAGTAAGCCAAGCAGGCAAGTATCAAGTCTCTTAGGTGATACATTCTAAATTCTTTACCATAGATTCTTTGTGCAAGATTTCAATTCTTTCATTATATATTTACGCAGAGACATAACACAAAGACAGGCACGAAGTCATGAGGAACATAAACTAATTATGCATCGAAGTTTACAGGTACACAAAACAAAAATATATCACGGTTACAATAAAATGCATAAACAAATAATAAATCTCAGTTAATTAAAAGAAGTAGAAGCAAAAGAATTGTATTTCAACCTATTCGATGTGAGATATGACTCTGTGTTTAATGAACTTATCGTAAATTAACATTCTAACTTATATCAGGAAACTTAGATCAATATTAAAATTAAAATAACATACAATTGTTAGAAATTTTTAATAAAATTACAATTACTCACTTATGTTTAAAAACCAAAAAATTAAAATTTTGCATTAAAATTTTTTTATTTGCTATTTACTTCTCTTTATATTTTCATTTGTTTATTCTTTTTATATTTATAGGCATTGTATTTAAATTAGTAAATGCAACCTGAGATAAAATAAAATTAAAAACTACATAAATAATAATTTTAATTCTAATATTGTAACTCAAATCGCGTGAAATTGTAAAATGTACTCTTTTAATTTTTTTCCGGGCGTAAATACGTTTAACTTTTTAAACTCAATCTGAAGGAAAATTTTAACTAACGTATATTTGTTTTAAAATTAAAATAAAAAGATTTAAATAGAAAAATAATAACTTGCAAATAAAGAAATGGATAATATGACATCACACACAAGTGACGTCACGAAGGCAAAAAGGGGGAAGTAAGGCTCCTATACTATGACCTATCAAGCAATATTGGAGCAAAAAAGTTTGCAAGTTAACGTTATGTTAGTATTGTGCTTATGTTAGCTCTTTGGAGCAAAAATAGATGATGAGTCAGGCTGTCTAATTCAGGGGCTCTAGGGCGGTCTTCTTATTCTTGAAGTGCAAGTACCCAATTAAAGGTAATAATTTAAATATTGAAGTAAATACACGTGCTTGAAACAAAAACGCAGGCTAGCATAAGTTATCAAAAATTAAATAAATACTATGTTTAGCAGTTACTGGGAATTTTAAACAAAAATTCTTTTCTTTTTCGTCCAAACAGCATTTTAATTTTAAGACGTTTAAATTTATTGAACTCTAATGTTGAAACTTAGTGTTGCCAAATATTAATGATAATAATTATTCTTTGGTGTTTTTCTACCACAAATTTTCAAATATCTAACTGCACATTAATATCCTTTAAATAGAAATATAAACTTTATTAAATATTCCGATTTTTATTCGCGATATTTTGAACTCAAACCGTGGCTAGATGCATTTAACGTATGTGCTACATAAATAATATGTTTGTGTACTCACATTTAAAGCTTAAGTCTCAAATCGTGGATCTGAATAATAAGAAAATAAAAGCAACAGAAAAAATTACTTTGCCAAAGCTGAAAAAAGTTAAAGAAAAGTGATTTGATATAAAAAATTCCATTTTAATCACCAATTAAAGGTGTCATATGAATGTAAAGACTGATTTTGACATTTTAATGCAAATATCCATTCACTTGGTTATGCACCATCTATCCTAAAAAAACTCAACTAACCCTACAGGACAGACTAAGGACAAAACATTATAAGGACATGAAAATCCATCCCGATAATACAAGATCATATATCAACTGGAAGGACTGCCCAGATTCCCAATTAGCACCAAAACATATCTCTGAATACCCAATTTTTATTGTAAATGCATTAAAGCTTGGTATGTTGCCACTTCAGGAACAACTCTCCAGGAGATTCTTTATAGCTCCAAGGCACCAGAACTGGCGGCTTCAGTTTGTGGTGTAACTACCACTATAAATATTAAATACCGAATCACTAGTATATAAGAGATGTTAACTTGATTCTATCATGAGGTACCTTTTGATAAATGAAGGTTGACATAGTCTAAGATTAAATCCCCTCATTGGTGACCCGGACGTGATAAGAAATTGTCAATATTGATGGATGAATCCACATTAAACAGTTGATTTGCTTAAAAAAATATATATACTGCTCAAAGAAAAAAAAAAGAAGGAAATCCGGTGAAGTGTAAATAAAGTCTCCCGGTTAATAATTAATAATGAGCGAAATGCTAGAAAAAAAAATAATAATAGCGAAAAGCTATAAAAAAATGATGGGAAAAAATAGCGAAAAAGCTATATATATAAGAAAAAATAACGAGCGAAATGCTTGGAAGAAAAAAAATAAATATAATGAGCAAAAAATTGAAGTTAATAAATAAAACAGCATTAATCAACTAGTGGTATCTGTTCATCGAATTCTATCACAGATAAAATTCTGGAAGGGGAGTAATGTGGCGTAACTACCACTATAAATATTAAATACCGAATCACTAGTATATAAGAGATGTTAACTTGATTCTATCATGAGGTACCTTTTGATAGATGAAGGTTGACATAGTCTAAGATTAAATCCCCTCAAGTTAACCGCTTTTTTAATGGCATCTAGTTTACAACCTTAATCCATGGACATGACAACGACAACAACTCTACAGGAAGTCTTGTCTTCCTCTGGCGTCGTTTTTTGACGTGACAATGTCTTTATTTCAAGTCCTTACTCTTTATTGCATTATTCGACTGAATTCGAAGGAATTGGTCTTAAAATTCAAATACGTTAATTTCAGAAAACAAATTTATGCTTCGACGTTTAGTGCAATTCAAAACAACTGTTGCCACTTGCAAGCGAATTTTTAGTCATTGAAAACAAATAATTGTAATAAGAAAATAAATCGAAAAATAATATGAAAAAAAAAGAAAAAAATAGAAATCAATTCAAGCAAGTCTTTCACTGGAAGTCGAAACAACCTCTACAAATACCGCAGCCAACCGTTGAAAACTAAGTCAATACTGTTTTTTAATTTTTCAACAGCACTATTAAACTGAAATATTTTTTTGCTCTAAAAAGTATTATTTACTTTCTTTTATATCCATGTTTACTTTTAACTTTGTGGTGATTAGGTTAAATATATTAAATAAATTAATTCAATAAAAATTAACTATCAACACAGTTTAATAATAATAAAACATAAAAGAAATCATATTAAGTTATAAATAGAAAGACGACTAGGATTAGCGACAGCAGCATTTCAAAAATGGTGTAAGTTCATCAGACAGCAAGATGGAATGAATGTTAGACAATTGACGTGTTGCCATTTCTTGAAACTAAGGTTTTAACTCAGAGATGTTGCCATCTTATAGAAAAGTCATTTTCTTGAGGGGAAAGTTTTGTACTGCCACCTGGCGAGCAAAGTTCATCGCCATCTGGTGAGAAGGTGGTTCACCACAGTACTCCCCCCCAAGTGGTGAAGGCACTGATGTCAGAGGTAGCGAGGGTTAAAGCGAACATGCCTTCCAGATCGTGTGATGGTCTGGGGTTGGATCACAGGGTCCTTGCCTTCTGGAGTAGGATCCAGAGAATCACTGATGTTTACACTAGTGGTTGCTTTTTGTCCTGTCAACACCTCGTCTGATGCTGTCGAGAAACATGGCTTAAGGCGATCAATGCCAATTGTGCATCTTTTGCCATGTATGAGCACAGTGAAGTGTTTTGGGGTGCGCTCAAGTACTTGGTAGGGTCCATCATAGGGAGGTTGGAGAGACCTTTTAATTCCACCGTGACGCACTAGAACCTGACTGCAATCAGATAATGAACGATGCACAAATGTTCCTGGTTCACAGTGGGCAGAACCTGGAGTCGGAGTCAGAGTTTGCATAGCTTTTTTTAGCTGCTGTACAAAATCTTCTGGCAAGTCTTTTTTGGTAGTTGTTGATGGAGCGATAAAGTCTGCTGGAAGCCTTATGGTTGTACCATAGACTAATTCTGAAGATGTACACTTCAAGTCCTCTTTAAAAGCAGAGCGGAGACCCAAGAGTACTATCGGTAGGGTTTCAGTCCATCTCTTGTTGCTGTGGCACATCAAAGCTTGTTTTAGTGAGCGGTGGAAGCGCTCGACCATTCCATTGCTGGCTGGGTGGTACGGAGATGTGCGAATTTGATGAGTGCCCAATATTTGAGCTAATGACGTGAAAAGCGATGACTGAAATTGTCTTCCTTGGTCTGTGGTGATTCTTGAAGGCACACCAAATCGAGCAATCCAATGCTCAACAAAAGCTCGAGCTACAGTTTCAGCTGTAATATCCGCCAGTGGTACTGCTTCTGCCCATCTGGTGTATCTGTCGATGCACGTAAACAAGTAACTGTTACCATTGGAGGGTGGCAGGGGTCCGACCAGGTCAAGGTGTATATGGTC